GAAGTGCTCCTTATCATAATTGTGGTTCGCTCAATTTCTCCCAATAGAATGGTAACCAAACTGTCTGGAAAAGTTGAAATTGTGCTGCAGCTCTTTGCAAGGCATCAGCAGACATAAGAATGTCTACTGTTTTCTGGAGTCCTTTTTTGAAAGACAGAGGGAGTCAAGATACACATTAATGAAGGGTCAGTGAGCATTCTTCCCAACTGAAATAAACCAAAAAGGTAAATGAACAATTAAAGCATTATATATTGTCGACATGGTATTCAGTAGCAACGATTTTCAAATCATGATTTGGCTTCCTGTTTTAATTTTACAATGATGCACTGTTCCAAAAAATAGGTGAGTTGTTAAAATTATTAGCATTTATTTTGAAGGACCTGATCCAGGCAATATTATAACCTTGATTTGTTTTATTTTCTCAAGAAGGATTATAAACAGCAAAATACCATAGACAGAGCATATACAAATTTCCACAAAGTTCAGTAGGTCATTTCTTAGGTCAAATTTTGAAAGTTGAAAAGAGTTTTATATGAACAATCACAACTTCGATGAGGTTTGAATTGGCCTTTTGAGGTGGCCAAAGTGCTATGCTGTAATCCAGTTGGTCTTAGTAGAAGCAGAGGCGAGGAGTTGCGGCTGAGTTTAGTTTCCTTTTCAAAAGTGATTGCGTGAACCCCCAATAAAATCGTCTCCCACACTTTTATTTCCCCAAAAACATCCCTTTATTGGCGTCTTAAATTTTGCGTTTTAAAATGTGCTTTAATTGTGTCTGATGCACACAACTTTTGACATCAGTCAAATGAGAACCCACTGAGCCACTGACTTATGCCGTTTATTCCTTCATCACGTCTCCAGCATAGCGTAAAGGGAAGTCTCTCCTCAAAGAGGCGAAAAGGGTGGAGCCTTCGACTCCTAGGGTTGTGTTGATGAGCAAGACTAAGTCAAAAGAATTTTGGGTTGAAGAGAAACGGAGGAGCTATTTGAGAAAATATAAAGCTATCAATGGTAGGGGAAAAGTGCTTTCAAAGAAAAAAATGGGATAGGAAGAATTTTTTCTGTGGGTAATACATTCCCTTAAACCTTCTCGTATTCGTTGACCTTCTTGGCTAGGCACGAAGCGCAGATGACAGCGCCAATTTGAATGAGACAAATTATCAAAATGGTGAGACCGAAAGCCAGAGAGGAGTCCTTAATCTTGTCGTACATGGCCTGAGCACAGCCCTAGAAATTCAGTATTACTTGTAGAATTCTGACTCACCTGCTTGAATGGCGATGTACATTTTTGGTTCTCAGATTTACAGCATGATTTTGGGTAGTTAGTACCCCAATCTTCTGGGCCGACCCCTCCACAGCACTCAAGCTAAACAGCAATAGTCTCAGGTAATAGACGATACCTCTTCCTGGAGTTTGTATATCGACTTCAGTGTTGGGTCGCTTGAGTTATGCTTGTGAGTCGAAAGATCTTTGATTGCCTTTTGCATTTCTTTGCCAACAAGTTTGACAAACTGCATGGTGGGAATATAATGAATTTTGAAGTAGAAAAACCTACGTCATGACGGTAGACAAGGAGGATGATGCCACAGATGATCTCAGCGACAAGCAGAATGGCCACAATGGCTGCAAACTAAAAGGATGATGGCAAAAATCTCAATCCTACCGTCTTTAGCATGCAGGCGTTGTTATAACAAGCCCCAAAGCATCCCAGAAAACCGATGAGGAAGAGTAACAGACCAAGAGCAGTGATAAAGGCAGGAAGGACTACGGTAACGGTACCGGCAGTTTTTGTGGACTTAACAAGGAGGTAGATACCGTAACCGCCTGTAATACCGCCACCGATCTAGGAGGCAATGAAGAGAACTCTTGAGCAAGGCGAATCCACTATGCACCATGTGTGTGGAATGCTACTTTCAGCTTACAAAGACAATGGCATTGAAGAAGAAGACGAGGAATTTGAGACACTTCCCACCACACGAAAGTTCCATTGTTGCAGTGCTGATTACACGAATGAGCCAGGAACTTGTGAAAATGGCCTTTTTATTAGGCGCACATCAACCGATGAAATGAAAATGTTTGTGCTTTTGACAACCAATCGGATCCGTCAAAAGGGTCTGTGTGATCATCGCCCATACACCGTTGTGCTGAGCCCCCTATGCCAGCAACCAGATCAATTTTAAAGCTCTTTGTGAAATTGCGTTGTAGGAAAAAAGTTTCCGCCTTTACTCAAGTCACGCTCATTAACTTTTTGTATAAACTGATTGTTATGATTTCAGTAATCCTGTGAGACCAACTAAAGTACGTAACCCCTACCAATCAGGGAATGAAGTAAATGCGCCCTAGAAAAGCCTAGTTACTACAACTAATTCATTATTTTTTTTCACTTTACAGCTTTAAAGATATTTAGTTTAGCATTTATTTATTACTATCACACTAAATACTTCCTCTTTTAAATAGCAATTTTTCTGAGGTAGAAAGTAAATTTAATCCACATATTAAAAATAAATTAGTTTCTCTTCTAACGTAGAGGCAGATCTTTTGTTGCCGTCACTTGTTTTGCATAAACGGGTTGACGAAACGCGAGCCGACGAAGTCTTTTTTCTGACTACGAAAAATGTGGGACACTAGTGAGGTGAATGAACACGTTTAAGTCCTCTTGTTATCTTTGCTGTTGGACTGTAGACAACTCAATTGGAGGTTAGTAGCGAAAACAATGGTGGCACAACTGGTATGCGGTGAACCATAAGTGCCTTCTGTCTTCAAACCACACTTGGCTTTCCTGTTCTGCAATCCGATGTTCCTAACCAAGCCGCATCAAAAGTAAATGCTTGAATGTGTTATACGCTAATCACACAACTTTATTGACCCTTAAAGTGTGCAGGATCACAACATTTTGCCGAAATCCCATTGAGACAACTGCTATTACAAATGTGTCAACAAAGTTGAGTTAAATTGGTTATTTTGGTTGAGAAGATTTGGATACGAAGTAACTACATCATTTGTTAGATGATTTCTTCGTTATAGGCACATTTTTGAAGCTTTTAATGAAATAAAAGGGGTGGCATCTATGCTCAAGTGCCTCCCAATATGGTAAAAGAGGGACACTTGCCAAACTGAATGAACTAGACTCTTGTGGAGGTTTCGGTTTCAAGGCACCAAACAGGACTCGCAAACAAACACACACACACACATATTGGAGGAAAGCTTCATTTGTGGCGTTACCAAAATCTAATTGATCGGTGAGATGTGTCACTAATTCACACACAGGATGAAAGACTCGTGGGCTTCGTTGCAACTTCTCTTGCCGTGTCTCGCCATAATGCGTAAAAGCAGCGGTGTGTACTACCACTTGCTCCAATCGCACCAGTCTTAGTAAATCTAGGTCACCTTTGACGCTCCTGCCATTCAAGTGGGATTAGCATACTCAAAATTTTATACCATTTCATTCATATTTACTTATGCTG